ATGCGATTTTTTGTTTTTATCTGCGTTTTAGTAGGGTATGCCATGGGAATGCACAATAAGACGGGATTTTTCAAAATTCTCCCGCGGGGGGAGAGGATTAAGGCTTAAGGCTTAACCGGAAAAACGGCTTCTACTGTACTATTTTAGATGCGATTTTTTGTTTTTATTTGCGTTTTAGTAGGGTATACCATGGGAATGCACGCTAAGAAGGGATTTTTCGAAATTCCCCCTCGGGGGAGAGGGAGAGGATTTAGTCTTCATCGAGTACTTAGATGTATTAAATTAATAACATTTCAGACATTGTTATAAATATTTTTATCTATTTCGATTTTAAAAATGTTCGAACCGTTGTAAATTTGAATTTGTTATTGTATATTGGTTCGATTATAGAACGATTGTAAACGTTCCAGAAAATTGATCAAATTGAAAATAGTTCGTTTGATTCTCGGCAATTCTCATCATTCTCAGCGGTAGTTGTTATATAACAATTACTATGGTTGTTGAAATACTGAATATAAATGGGGTTTGCTTGCAAAATTTTCGCGGGCGAAGTCGCGGGTAACAGCTAGTATATATATATATATAGGCCTATAGATATTGATATATATAGGTATAAATAACCAAACACCTTTATCGTTGCCGAGAAAGTTCAATTAAAACAAACGTTTTCGACCTATTCCATAGGCCATCGTCAGGTTGAAAACGGACAATTGGACGATTTCGTTCCACAAGATCGAATACAAATATTCAAATTTCAAAAAACTGGCAACGGATTAAAAGGATAATATATTAGTAATGTATAAAAAATATATATATAATAAAAACAAAGAATAAAATAAAAATAAATTCAGAAATGCTACTAAACATCAACTAGCACAATAAAATTAACGTGTAAATTATGAGTTTCCGGCAGATTTTTTAATAATATACTTCCAGGCCGATGGAAGGCCTTCCGCGTCCCGCGCATTAATACAAGTCTCCTCTAATTTGCTCTTATAAATCTCTGTTTTATCAGCGGTCTTCGCTAATGTTGGGGATCTCACTGGCTTCATAATCCGCATCATCCCATTTAACTACCGAACTTTGTGTCTGAGCCATCTGGGATAGTACCGTCGCGTTCGAACTTTTTTTGATGTTATACTTGTGCTCCTTTAGCTTTACACTCAAATTCCTTGTAGTAACGCCGATATAACCTTTCTTAATCCCGAGCGGTGGATTTTCGTATGGTATCCTATACACATCTGCTTTTTCTTCCTTTCCAATGCTATCCTTGTCATTTCTTAAAATTTTATATAAGTTTGGGGCTCTTTTTGAATTATTGTTGATCCTTTGCGGTCTGCAATTTCTTTCATAATGCCTTTGTCATATCTGTTATAAGTGAATTTTGTGATTTTACTGGGACCTTGTATTGAGCCTGTATTATGCTCTTCTCGCATCTTCTAACAATTCCTGTTATTGTGCCTTTATTATACTCTAAGGCTACAGCAACTTGTAAAATTCTGTCAATTTCCTTTGCTCTGTCCATAACGTTATCACAATATAGAAAGGCCCTTCTGATTACAGCCCGGAATGATGCCATCATGTAACGATAAGGATCATTTGATTGCCAGGGATATAAAGCGGACTGTGCGTTCGTTTAACGTAAACACTGGTAGATAAATGCCCTTTTCTGAATTGGATGCTGATGTCCAAAAAATGTATTATTATGGAACTTCTCTGTTCTAATTTCAGTTTTAGGCCGTCGTTGTTACGATTAATGCTTTCAATGAATTCATTTATCTTACGGCTATTATTCCATAATATAAAGATGTCATTTACATATCTTTTGAAATACTGTATAGTATATCATTACGGAAGTCATATAAAACTTTTTCTCCAGTTTTCTAACAACCAACTCACAAAGAATTCCTGAGATCGGACTTACCATTGGAACTCCCCTTTTCTGTCTATGTTTGGCCATCATAGCTGAAGATAGACTCGTAGCATATCAGGTTAGCCAGTTCCACTACTTCGCTGTTGTAATTTAACAATTCAGGGACCTTATTGAACAAGAATTCGAAGTAGTGCTTCCTTGCATGATAAGATTTTTATGGAAGGATAACGAGCAGTGTTGCCGTTCCTAGTACATTTGTACTTTTCTGATACATTTTGCCCTTTCCAGTAAATTGAAAGTACATTTAGATTTTTAGTACATTTTCAGTAGATTATAAAATTTCAAGTACCATTTACGGTACAAAATAATATTTCACGCCTTAACGAAAAAATGAGAAAAATTAGTTTAATAAAGTCTCACTAGTGTCACTGCTTGCTAATTTAAATTATCCAATCACAACATACAAATGGTGTGTGTCCGTCGACGTCAGCAACATAGATAGTTGCACGTGTAAACGGTCTTGACTCAGTGGTCTTTGATACGTTCAGTTGTCTGCACATTCTCATCAGGACGTTGACAAAATTTTTCATGCCACGTGGTCCAAACAATTCAACTCCGTCAAACAAAAATAATGGACAGGTAAGGAAATCAATGATTTTAAACTTTTGTCGTCAATAATATCAAAATATCCGTTAAGTCAGAAACAAATTATTACAGAAAATAGTTTTGAAATTGTACGAGTATAAATATTATAAATACTTTTATATTATTTTCTACCACTATAATTTAATTCTTAAATTATGAACTTCAATTTTAGTAATCGTAGTAAAAGAAATAAGGGTTAATGTTACGTATGGTTCCAAAATGGCCGCGCTTCCGACTGTTCCAAGGTCTATATAAGAAGATCAGGACACGCGTGATCTACTTCTTGAGCTGCCATTTTGGGGTTTTTTGAGTTGCATGTTTTAAGCAAACTTGTACGAGCAGTCAGTTTTATATGACATTAATTAAACTAAAATTGCATAAATCCTGTAATTTCCAGTCAAAAATATAATAATAATTTCAGATGATTATGCAACCCCAATTTTATGTAACGTTTTCATCAAATAGTTTAAAAGAAACAAGCATCCTTATCTTTTGCTGTCATGATTGAAATTAATTAAATAGGTACTAAAACTGATGCAATTACGTATATACCACTTCGTAAAGTGATGCAATAACATCAAAAAAATTTAAAGTATAATAAAGAATAAAATAATATAATATAACAAATTTATAATTATTTTTTTAAAGCACGATTGGTTATAAAATTAAGATGAAATTCAATAGTATTATTAATAAATGTTGTCAATGTAATGCTCATTTTATAATAAGTAATAGATGTGTAGATATGTTTTTAATTTTAAATAGCTTTCAAAACATTCCAAAAATAAGATTTAAAATTAAATTATTTGACAATAAACTATATATATAATTTACGTGCCTATATATATATAGGCACGTAAACAAAGTATTCACAGAACTAGTACATTTTGAAGGAAAATAGTACATTTTTTGAAGGCGCTTCAGTACGTTTTGAAATTTCATTGCGGCAACACTGGATACGAGCCTTCATAATCCAATACCGTTCCTACTTCTTTTTCCATTAATGATATTCGCTGTATTTCTTTAACCACAGTCCCAGGATCTTGTGCCACTGGTGCATTGGTATCAAGCTGAGAGGAAATAAATTTGTGTTATCTTTTTTCTAAGACAAAAGTTGGTCCCCTGCATTTTTCCAATATTGGCCGTACTTGTTTACCTTCTTTGTGTGTTTTAGCGAATGCAAACAATCTTGGAATACCAGGTCTTTGGTTCCGGCACTTCTTAAGAAAAGGTAAAACAGTAGAAAGCCTTGCTCCTTTTAGCTTTTTGACCATTCTATCAATGGTTTCAACAATTTTAACATTTACCTTTTCACATTCAGTTTTTCTGATGTAATCTTCTATCGCCTTTTTGTATGTTTCTCTTTTCATGATCACCAAATGCTTACTTTTGTCCTCTCTTGTTACCAATAAATCGTTTACGTTCAAATAGAGGTACCAGCGAAGGTTAAGGAAGTTCTAGAAAAAAGCCCGAACTTCGTCCCGGAAAATCTAGGAAGAGGGAAACCTCGATTCAAGAGATTGAGAGAACGGAGTTGGACTAGATTCGTTAAAAAAAGATTATTTTAGATGGAAAACGGTCATTGAAAACCAAGAACGTTGGAAGGTAAGAGGGGTTAAGAATAACGACATTCAGATAACTAAGCGATGGCTGAACGTAAACTATTTAGTCTACATATTACACGTTCGTTTATATAACGAAATATCAGTGTATATTATATTGTATTATGTTGGATAATAATACGAGAATATTAATTATTAATAATAAAATAAACACTATCAAAATTAAACTTCTGAACATAAAATGATAATAAGACGTTTTTTGTGTTCCGGGGATTTTAATATTAATATTCAGAAATTATACAAATAGATAGATATTTTATTGTAACTTACTGGAGTACAGTAAATACTGGGTGCCACAAATGTATAACCCAGTTAGACATGGTACTAGATACATAGAAGTACTGTACATGGATACATAGAATGAGTGAGATGATATAAAGTAAAGAAAAATACAAGGCGACCCCCCCTATAACACTGTTGATAATTCCGTTTTATCTGAATTACATGTTGTACGAGTCACTTAGAATTTACAAATATGTGAGCCGTTCACAGCCCGGCACACGTATTTGTAAAATGTAAGTGACTCGTACAACATGGAATTCATATAAAACGGAAAAATCAACAATCTTATAGGGGGGTCGACTGTAATAATAAGAATAATAACAATAAAGAGAAAATTATTTACAAATATATACAATGTAATGTAAGCAAGAAAAAAAAACAAGTGTAATATAAAATACATAATTAAAGTTTTGATATATAGGTACTGTACAGTACATGAAATACGGAGATTGCAAATACAAATAAGCGTGGATGTGTAAATTTAACGTACAATATCAAGAGGAATTAAGTGATTAAAGTAACACAACATAATAGAGAAAAGTAATGATGTTTCTACATTGCAGAAGACAGATGTAGGTGAATGGCCTGCAGGCATGTGAGGCATTTAGATGTAAGCAGTGACAGTGGTACGACCAAAGTAGTTGTTTATGAGCATAAGAAAAGCGAGGTAAGAGTCTTGGTGGTTGAAGAAACTGTAGCAGTCTCTAGGCCAGCTGTACCCGTGTGCTTCAATGGTGGACTTTAAATAGTGCCTCTCCAGCTCCAGCATGGGACAGTCGAAGATGTAATGGAGATTGCTGTCACTAGTACCACAGAGGGAGCAGTTAGAGCTAGGGGCGTTGACAAATCTAGCCAAGTATGACTGAAATCTACCATGGCTGGTGAGAAACTGGCTGTTGCGGTGACCTGGAATGTACCATTTATTAAGGAGAAAACTCTCAATGTTTGGGATGAATCTGTGTGTAACTGGGTGGTTATGATTGTCCCATTCCTGTTGCCAAGTCACAAGAAGGTCCTTCCATAGTAGGTTTTTGACAGTGTTGCTGTTAATTTTATTATAGGCGACTGGAAGGTTAGAGTCATCACTAGCAGATTTGGCCAAGGCATCAGCAC